GTAGTAGTAGTAGTAGTAGTTGCAGGGCATGGAGCTCTGAACCCCATAACCCAGGCTCTGAGATCACCAGTAAGTCACCAGTAGTTGGATTTGTATTTTCCAGTAGGCCATTGGTTTCAGTCCTCGGCTGCCAGAGTGAGTAACTCGGCCTCGTGCTGCTTCTCGCCATACTGAATAGCTACCGGCATGTGTTTCGAGTCGAGGAGTAACGCCACTTGCTGCAGCCAGAACGACATCCTATGGCCCTACATGGAGTCTCAGGAAATACAAGGCGCTTCTTCTCACTCTTCATAACTTGCTTTCCAAATCAAGGTGGGTTTGTCCCGTGCGCCACTCAACCTCAAAGCCGAGACTGCAGTGTGCAAGCCAGCTGTGCGGTCGAGCAGCAGAAGAAGCCATGCAAAACTGCCGTGATGCGCTCCGGCAAAAGGTGACATTGCGAGATCCGTCCTGCTGACGTGTGTGACACGACGCTTGAAAATTTGGAGGTTCAGCAGATCATGAAACAAGTCAACCAAAATCCTGAACCCTTTTCGCCCATGTCATGATGAGGCCGTTACGCTGAACTACATGTTCCCCGTGTAATCCGAAAGCCTCAAACGCAGCTTTCCATGGATAGTAATGCGATGAGACCATTCGAACTCTCATGTTCGACCTTTCTACGGAGAGTTGCGGCCTGTTGATGCGACCATGGGAGTGGTTGCCAGAAACAGGCATTCTTAGTGTCGGTTACAGGAGGGCTGCGCACTCTAAACCAAAAACCACATCCTAGAAACTGGAACCCCGAACCTCAGAATTATGCAGTCGTTTTTGCCAGTCCTGCTTGCAGCTTCAAGTCAGAAGCCGCCGGGCCGAACAGGATAAATCACAGGGTCCGAACACCTCGGGGACAAGCTGATGGTAGCGGCATAAGCTTTGGTTATGCGGATGTACCAAAACCTTCAGCCACAAACTCTAGAACTTCTTAGAAACTAGGACGATCATCCGACAGTTGACCTAACCTAACCCTGTAAGCCAAATACCAATACCCTACAGCACACATGCCATTGGTGGCACCACACCAGACCCCAGTCCGACAAACAAACAAGACTCAACCTGATCCTGTAAGCCCTAAGCAGAACAGCCAGGCTTACAGCCCAAGCTTATCTCAGTGGCAGCAATAAGGAGATGCCTGGTCGGATTGCAGCAGTTATGCTGAGCACTAATACATAAGGGAAACATAGAATCCTTGCTATCGTTGATATAGTCTACCAGCCGTACCCATGATAGGATATTGCGCTCCATTGGGCCTAGTCACCTAGTCTTTGCGCCATGGGACAGAGCTCCGGCGTTGCGGCAACAGCTGTCTTGGCCCGACTTAGAGGGCAGGCGCGATCTTCTGCGCCGGGTTTTGGGCGTCGGTCTTGGGGTCTAGGCTTGGTGGTGCGTTGGGCCGTAATTAGAAAGACTAGAAGTGGCCTTGCTTATCTTGATGAGTGGCCCTCGCAAGGGGCTGGACTCTTTTGCACGGATCTTGTCGTTTGATTGCACCTTTGCTTCTGTAGAGTTGTTAGTCTCAGTCGTTTTGAATGCAACTGGTATGGGCTGATTACAAAGGTTGTGTAGTGTTGCATCTCACAAGTAACGATTTTCTGGGCAATGTGGCTTCCCCAGCATTCGAACCAAAAACCCCACTCCCCAACCCAAAACCCCAAGCTCTATACGCGACAGCTTTCGGCCGAAGACATGGTCTTGTGGTTGCCAGATCTGCCAAATCCAAGGCCTTGATTGAAGGTCGAGGGGCTTCTCGTCTCAGTTTTATGGCATCATGTTCGGGGTCTTTGGGCGTTTAGGGCATGGGGTTTCTGC